ATATTTAACCATCATGCAATCACATAATTGATAGTGATGCAATTATCGGCCATCGTAAATAAGCTTGGTGGGGGTAGAATGGTCATTTCCTTTAAACAATGGATCATTATCTCTTCTCCCTTTTCCTCTGTACCTGAGAGTCGAAAATGCCTTCAAAATTTCAAATTGTCCTTCAAGTAACATACAATCTCTTGCTGCAGATCAAAGTCGAGATCGATTAGAGTGAGGTTCACAATTCATTTACGGTAATTATTGACCATGTATTGATGCTCGTCTATGAAATTTTCAAATAATAGGACAAGATTAAAAAGAACGTAAAAATTCGAATCATGCGGAAAAAAGATTAAAGAAAACTTACGATCAAACAGAGAATAATGCAGCCAGTGGCACCAGGGAACAAAGCATACCAATAATTCAAATGGTGCAGCTTCATACCATCGATAAATAGCAACGGCAAGCTTGCAGCTGCAGAATTATTTTTGAATAATTTTGCGTTATTTAATGATGAATAAGTTTTATTTATAGATAAGAAATATGTAGAGTTAATAAATTAATTACCTGGAGGATGTACAGATCGGGTGAAAATCATGAATGCTATGGCGGCAGAAAGGGCGGTGCTTCTAGCTAGCCAACCGGGCCCGAATATCGAGAACGCCAAAACACCTATTGCTGCACAGCCAATCTGTGCTAAAAACATATTGTACTTCTGCAAAAAAAAAAAAAAAACAAATAATAAAAAAAAAAAGATATTAATAGCTTATTTATTTCAAAGTACATACTAATTGCAATAGAATGAGATGTTCGATTATTTCCGAAACACTAGGACCGTGAATTTCGTTTTCACGCAATAGATACAATAACTACATTGAGTGGCAAAAACCGCTTATTACGAAAAAACCTTAGTGCACTCCCCTTGTTACCTACCGGGCAAAATGATAAGAACTAATCTATACGAGGATTTGAACAACAACTTTTAGTTCTCGTAAATTTGAAGTAACCGAGAATTTTTGGACAGAAGAGAATCGTGCGTATCTAAATCACAAGGAAAACGAAAAAAAATCATTTTAGCTAACACAAAGTTGAGATGTTTAGAGCTCTCGAGATTAAAAGGCCAATAAAATAATTTCTTCACATATAATCATAGAGTGAATCGAAACGCATCAAAATCGAATGCGATTATTAGAACATTCGAATAAAAAATAGAAAGGGGTATTGATAAAAATGTTTTACCCGAGCACCGGGAGAAGCCGGTGTGGCGAAAAGAACGGCGCAAACGGCTCCCATTGGTGCAATTGTCATCGAAATTCCTTTTGGTGCCAAAATTTGATCAATCCTCCCCAATATTGCCATTGCAGCAAAAGCCCCTGAATTACATTATAACTGTTATTATTAGGGTAAATTGCAACCACTCCTGACATATGGTCAAATTACGAAAAAACTCCTCATGCTTGGATAATTGCATATAGCCCCATCAACTATGAATCTTCTTACATCTTCACCCTTATGGTATCAAACTCAACATAATCATCTAGATTCCGTCATCTAGATTCCGTAGAATGTTCTCTAATTTGTACTCGCTATATGTAACAATACAGTTTATGATGCACCACAATGTGATTTATACAAGCCAAAAAACACATCTTATGATCATTTCCTTCAAAATGTGGAGCTCGAATGGGATAAAACATATAGAAAATTGAGAATATTCCATATAATCTAGTAGATTCCACTAAATTTGAAACCGCAAGGGTGGACCGTAAGAAGATTTATAGTTGATGGTGGTTCTAATTATCCAAACAGGAGGAGATTTTTCGTAATTTAACCCTATCTCAGGAGGTTGGTTGTAATTTGCTCTTATTATTATAATTAATTTTTTTTATTCATGTAATAAATTAGTTGCAGAGTTCATAATCAAATCGGAAAATTTCAAACCACTCACTCAATCCTTCACACATGCATATATATGATATATGACAATGTCTTTAAAAAAATAAAAAAAATAATGTTTAGAGAGAGAAACTGGACTAACCAGCAGAGGGCCAAATAATATCGCTAAGGGAAGGAGATTTGGAGTTCTTCTCCGGCCACCAATTCTGCCATAGCTGCCCACCCACATTGCTCGATGAGCTTACAAACAACTCCTTTTTTCTCAACCCTTTTACTTTCGACGACGAGACGAAACCAATTTCACCTCCGTTGGTTTTTAATCGACATTTTCCAGTGATTAAATTACAGGAGGATAATCCGTACAACAATGGCGGACGACTCTGCAGCAGCGGCAGAGAAAGCTGACCGAACCGGGCATGGAGTTGCATACCCATGATTGGTTCAAATGGGATTCTGATTTTAATTATTTGTTTGATTATTCAAGGACCGAAAACCCAGATGATAAATATCTGGGATTTTGTGGGATTTCTAAAAGCGGAAATAACAAGAGTTAGAGAGAGAAAGAGTGGAGAGAGAGAGAGAGTAGAGAGAGAAAGACCGTTGGGAGAAGTTGAAAGCCATGAGAGATGGCTGTTGCAGAGGTCGAAAGGGCAATTTGATCGTCAGTGGGGGGGGGTTTGTCCAGCTCAGCTGCTGACGTGCGACTTTTTTAGGTTTGTAATTAAATTATACTATTTAATGACCGAGATAACGATAATTGTCAACTTTTTTGTTTCCATTAACATATGGTTTTGTTTTTTGCACATGGGCATTGTCGTCATTTTCATTGGTTCCCTACAATACTATGTAGTATTTGGATTTTGACATTACTTGGATGTGTGTATATATATAATTGTTTGATTATATAATTAGTGATTCTTATGAGGAGTAAAAATGCGCCGAGCTAGCTCATGTTAGCTTGATAAGCCGGACTCTACTATATTTAACAATGAAAAATATATAGTAATTTACTTTTTATAGTTTGTATACTATCGTCAATGTCGCATATACCTAAATGTACTACAAAATACGACAAAGTGGCTCCTCAACTTATCGGTCAGCCCTCAGATCTCTAAAATTGTTAGTTTATGTGCCGTAATTACCTTTTAGTTTTTACTCTTACTTTTATATGATACAAATATGTATTTTTGACTTTAGTACTTAACCAATTTTTTATTTATTACGTCACACTCCGGTTGCATGGACAAGTGGTTCTAGAAAAATATGTCATGTATTGTTTGGACATGAAACATGAGATGCATGAATTTTGAATATTAGAACTACGGATGGCACTTTAAATCGAGAATTTATGGGCTGAAAATGAAATTATTGAATTTCAAAAAGGGAACGGCTAAAACAAATACCGTTTCTTTCTCACTTCAATACCACCAACGTAAAAAATGAAAAATAAATAGATAATAAATAGGTAATGACATTAATACCCTTAATGAAAATCAATACCACTCATAAAAGTTGTGTGGTATTGATTTTAATAAAGGGTATTAATGTCCTTTTCTATTTATTTTCTATTTTTTATGTTGGTGGTATTGAAGTGAGAAATAAATGGTATTTGTTTTAGCCGTCTCCTTTCGAAAATCATAATTTCTGGGCGAAATTTTTAGATTGGGAACAAAATTGTAATTTCATAAATTTAAAAATAAATTATAAATAAAATTTACAAATATATATATATTTTTTAGAAATTTTTAGGTTGTGGAAAATAAAATTACGAAAGGAACATGAAAAAAAAAACTGGGAGTAAATTGAGTAAAGCAGAGAAAGAAAGAAGCACACCTTTTATAAATAACCAGAGGCGTAATTCCGTCCGAAATTGTCTAACAAATAATACAATGGCCGGCCAACTTTGGAAAGAGACGGATTCTCTAACATGGCTTGACGATAAGAGACACATTGTCACATTTTATAGCGACAAAGATGATAGTAAAGAGGAATAATTTGTGTTTAACCATTTATTAGATGAACTCGTTAACATTAAATTATTAATTAAAAACCAAAGTGAAGTCTTACATGATCCAAATATTAATATGATGTGAATAAGGAAAGAGATAATATGATAAAATAGAAAACTTAGTTCAATTTTCTTAGTTTTTAGTTTATATCATAAGGTAGTCTTTTGTTAACCACTTAACACAATAATATTTATGGAGGCAATTAAAGCTATAAAATAGTTTGAATGATCAATACTCTAATGTTATCATGACATAACAAATGGCCCATTAGCTCAGTTGGTTAGAGCGTCGTGCTAATAACGCGAAGGTCGCAGGTTCGAGACCTGCATGGGCCATTTTTAAGATATTTTTGTAGAATTTGATAAAGAACTAATACATATTCGTCTTTTCAAATGTTATTTATGTTATAAATGTTGAATGGGCCATTTTTAAGATATTTTTGAGAATTTGGTATAATACATTTTCGTCTTTTCAAATGTTATTTATGTTATAAATGTCATGTTGAATTAAATTTACCGAGACCTGCATCGGCCATTTTTAAGACTTTTCTGAGAATTTGATAAAGAACTAATACATTTTCGTCTTTTCAAATGTTATTTCTGTTATAAATGTCAAATGTTGAATTAAATTCTCCATTTATTTTTACGCTTCATGGCCGTTTTTAAGATTTTTTTGAGAATTTGATAAATAACTAATACATTTTCGTCTTTTCAAATGTTATTTCTGTTACAAATGTCAAATGATGAATTAAATTCTCCATTTATTTTTAGTTTTTACGCTTCAAGGCCATTTTTTTAAGATTTTTTTGAGAATTTGATAAATAACTAATACATTTTCATCTTTTCAAATTTTATTTCTGTTACAAATGTCAAATGATGAATTAAATTCTCCATTTATTTTTACTCTTCAAAGAGTGCAATAACAATATTCCCTAGATTAAAAAATAATAAAATACAAGGTTCCTCCAAAATATTTGGTATGCATTAAAAGACAGACAACATTTCTCATTTTACTAAAGGTTCTCTTATTCAATTTTGAAACCCTTTAATTGCGTTATTGAGTCAAGGCCATTTTTTTAAGATTTTTTTGAGAATTTGATAAATAACTAATACATTTTCATCTTTTCAAATTTTATTTCTGTTACAAATGTCAAATGATGAATTAAATTCTCCATTTATTTTTACCCTTCAAAGAGTGCAATAACAATATTCCCTAGATTAAAAAATAATAAAATCCGGGTATTAGCAGGAGGTTCCTCCAAAATATTTGGTATGCATTAAAAGACAGACAACATTTCTCATTTTACTAAAGGTTCTCTTATTCAATTTTGAAACCCTTTAATTGCGTTATTGAGCGTAGAACATATATAATAAATTAATATAGACATTCAATAGTATAGGGAGCTTAGTTAGAGAATTTAGGACGACCCTGGAGAGATTGCTTAGAGAGCTGTAGATTGAGTATTATCAATACGTGAATAGATGTACTCCATAGATAAGTATACATACATGAAAAATATACAGTGGAGACTACAACGAGAGCTTAGTTACAGAGCTTAGACAAAGAACTATACACACATGAAAAATATACGGTGGATAGTATAAGTAGAGCTTTTAGTTATGGAGTTTAATTATGTTCAGTATTCCTCTTCCATGGAATACTTACCTATTCACAATCAGCTCTCCCCCATATATGTAGCTAATCAAAGTTAATCAACAACAACCATTCATATCCTTCAACGGTGCATTTACAAACGCATATTCGTTTTTCCAACGACTATAGTGTGTGAATTTGTATGTTTGAGTGTGTATGTGTGCGTGTGATAGTCAATTCTTATTCGATGACAACGACGACAGAGGAAGACAACAAATGTGTGAGTGTGTGAATTTGTATGTTTGTGTGTGTATGTGTGCGTGTGATAGTCAATTCATTTTCGATGACAACGACGACAGAGGAAGACAACAGTGGAGGGTGAAGACGGCGGTTGCAGGATGAGAAAAGACCATGGTGGTGCATCGAAGATATTGTTGAATCTGAAATAGAAAAGAAAATAGGAAGAGAGGAATGGATGGACAGGTGGGAAGAAGACTTGGTAACTCCGTTTGAAAATGATAGAGAAATGTTAATAAATTGGTAAATTTCAACCGTCCTGATTTAAAAGAATATTAGTGGTTAATATGATTTTTTAGCAAATTGACACTGTAAAATAATCTAAATGAAATAATTGAAGCTATGAAAATTAAATTCATAATGACAAATTTATCAAAATTGATTTGATGAATTCATTTTATGAGCAACAGAAGACCGCGAAATACACTATGGCAGTTCCAACTTTTGAGCAAATATCATCAGGATTTCTTTTATTTTTTGCACACATGCATGTTTTGTGATTCCAACAGAAAAAGAAAACGTATTTTATACATTTAGCTAGACGTGGAATGGAACCTCCTAATTAGGGGTGAAAGTTGGAACGGAATTTTCAATTTTTTCCGGTTCTAGTTTGAAGACTTTCGATTATGGAACAACTTTTTTAATTTCAATTTCTAAAATTCCGATTTCCGGTATTTTCTAATTTTGTAGATTGAAATCGGAATTATATAAAATAGTTAGAATTTTAATTTTCGATCCAGATAATTTCCTACATTAATTCCAATAAATTGGATTTTTTTTTCCCAAAAAGTATACCAATATATATATATATATATATATATATATTCTTATTTATTTCACTTAGTGTAAAATAAAATGAAATATTTATATATTTTTACCTTATGCTCCATGTTGGAGAGCAGGGTTTAGAATTTTATGTGGTATTTTAAAAGGGTAAATTACAAAAAACCCCCTGAGGTATGGTCAAATTACAAAAAAATCCATCTTGTTTGGATAATTACATCTACCCCCCTCAACTATGATTTTTTCTTACCTTTATGGTGTCAAATTCAACATAGTCATCTAGATTCCGTGAAATGTGCTCTAGTTTGTACTCTTTGTGTAAAAAATACAGTTTCCGATGCACAACAAACTGATATATACAAGCTAAAAATCACATATTATGGTCATCTTGCTTCATAATGTAGAGTTTGAATGGGATAAAACGGGTACAAAAGTGATAATATTCCATATAATCTCGAAGATTCCACTAAATTTGATGAGTTGAGGGGGGTGGTTGTAATTATCCAAACAAGAGGGGTGTTTTTGTAATTTGGTCATACCTCAGGGGGTGTTTGTAATTTACCCTATTTTAAAATAGGTGTCTAAAACTAAAAGAAAATAGCCTAGTGCACTAGGAATTTAGGAGTCATTATAGTTAGTTTTAAAATAATAATTTATCATATGAATAATTTTAGTTTTATGATTTTATGAAAGTGGATGCTCTTATTTGGAATTTTCAAGAAAGTGTTTCGAAACTTTTAAAAAGTGTTAATACACATGTAATTTTCGAAATTCCGAAATATCAATAGCTTTTGGAATTGGAATGAATTTCAAGATTCTGAAAATTTTGGAATTGAATTTGGAATAAGTTTTGTGCTTCCAAAAAAGATTGATTTTTTTCGAAAGGTTAACTCCAATCCGTTTCATCCCACTTTCAGCATTCTCATTAATGTTAAAAAGATCAATTAAAATGTGATTTATTTTGTAAAAATATTTAAAATGATAATAAAATTGGTTTGATATTTATGGTTGATACTAGTAGGTGAAGTACATGCACTAATATTTTTGAGGTATCAAAATATCATTTTAGCTATAAAATAACCTAAGTTTGCATTTAGATAGAAAAATAATAGAGCTACAAGTCTTAAATTAATAATAATAAATTTAAATGTGTAAATATTTTATTTTTAATTATTGAAAAATTATGTGTATTTTATAAATAGGTGGAAGCGTGGATGCCATGCTACACTACATAACAAATAATGCCAAAAATAACGACGTGTTTGTTGGATTTAACAAAAAAAGCACTATAAATACGTGTTTGAGTTAGCAAGCAAAAATTGAGATAAATACGTACGGATTTTCGTGCACATTCCATATTTTCAAACAGAAAATATATATTAGATAAATTATTTGAAATTAATTACTAATTATATATAGGGTAAATTACGAAAACTCGTTGAACTTTGGTTAATTACGAAAAAAACCCTTTACCTATCCATGAATACTAAAATTCCCCCGACATTTGTTCCGTTTTAAGTCTTAACCGACCCCCTAAAGATGTGATTTTTCATGATTTTTTTAATTTGATTGAATATTGCCTAAAAAATTCCAATTATATTCCTACAGACGTGACATTTCTTTATACTACTTTTTCTAGACAAAAATTACCCTAAGGGGGACTTTACATGAAATCTTTATTCTTCTTAAATAACATATTCACAACATTTTAGTATTATCATTATCAATCTGACCGTAATTTTTGTCTTCAAAAAAGCAGTATAAAGAAATGCCACGTCTAGATAGGTAGATTTGACATTTTTCGGAAAATATTCCATAAAATCAAAAAATATCCGGGAAAAATCACACAATTAGGGAGTCAGTGTAACATAGAAAATGTACAAATGTCGGGCGAATTTTGGTAATTACTCGTAGGTGGGGGAGTTTTTCGCAAATTAGCCTAAGTTTAGGGAGATTTTCGCAATTTACCCTCGCATCGCATATACATATTTTATTTTCATTTAATTTTCAAAGCAACCGAATTTGTTTCTCATTGAATTATAATGATGGAACTATTTCAAAGATTTTGCAAACATACTGTTCCGAGATACATGCTTTTAACAAGTCACATGCAGTTCTTTGTATTGACTATTGACTTTCTAAATTATTTATGTCGAACGAACAAAGAATTTTGAAATAGGCTAGAAACCTAGAATAGAAGAGAGAGAAAGAGAAACAAGAGAGAGAGAGAGAGAAAGAAGAGAGAGAGAGAGAGATGGAGATCGGAAGCCATTCTCAATCTGGTAAAGAATCCCATCTTTCTCCTTCCAAATCCCAATCCATGAAGAAACCTGGTGGCTGGAGGGCCATCAAATACATTCTTGGTAATAATTAATTTGCCCAATTTCATTTTTTCATTTCTTTTTTTCATTTTTCTTGCATGGTTTTGTTTTCGTTACATGAAATTAAAGCTTGTCTTTTTTCTTTTTTTTTTTTTTGTTTTGGTAATTAAAAATTTGAAGGAAATGAATCGTTCGAAAAATTGGCGTCGATGAGCCTAATAGCCAACATAACGGTGTATTTACGAACAAAGTACAATTTGAGCGGCATACTTTTGGTTAATGTTGTCACGTTATGGGCTGGCACATCGAACGTCTCGTCCATCGTCGGCGCCATTGTTTCCGATGCTTATTTGGGACGGTTTCTCACTCTCCTCTGCGGTACCATTTGTTCACTTTTGGTATGTTCCTTCTTTCTTTCATTACATCCTCAAATTCATTCGGGAAATCAGAGGTTTCACTAGGAGAAAAATAGTTTTTTACTACGATCATTAACCGTAGTAAAATGTATCAAATTCGTACTAAAAACGCTTTTACTACGCATTTGCTACGAATTTGCCCCTAGCATATACAGGCGTGACAAAAGCTTTGCTATGATAAATAGTCGTACCAAATACTTTTTTGTAACGGTAATTCCTAGTATTTCCTACGACTTCAAAATTGTTCTGTAGTAAAAAGTACATTTTATTACGTTTTCTTTTACCGTAGCAAAATATTTTGTAATAATAAGCAAATTTTCTACTAGTGGTTACACATGGTTATTTACGCTGGTTATTTTGAAGGTTCTCATGCATATAAATTTGCATAATTAATTTTCTCAGGGAATGGCAGCTATGACACTAACAGCAAGTATATCCGAACTAAGGCCGCCGCCATGCCAAGAGCCGGCACTCTGCATGCAGCCCCACAAATGGCAGCTGGCGTTACTCTTCGCCAGCCTGGGCCTCATCGCTATCGGGGCGGGGGGTATCCGCCCCTGCAACATCGCGTTCGGGGCCGACCAGTTCGACACCAACACGAAAAAGGGGCGGGCCCAGCTCGAGAGCTTCTTCAACTGGTGGTACTTATCGTTCACCATCGCCCTCATCTTCGCCCTCACTGGTGTCGTCTACATCCAGACGAACGTCAGCTGGGTGATCGGCTACGCGGTCCCCACTGCATGCCTCGCCCTCTCCATCACCATCTTCCTCTTCGGCCGCCACACGTACATCTACAAGCCCGCGCACGGCTCCGTATTCGCCGACATGGCGAAGGTCGTCATCGCCTCGTATAGAAAACGTAAGACGAGATTGGACAACGGCTGCTCGTACTACAACCCTAATAACGAGATAGACACCGAGGAAGCGTGCAAATCTAAGGTTAAGTGGCTCAACAAGGCCGCTATCATAGTACACGACCAAAACGAGCTCGACTCGAACGGTGTCCCGATCAACAGTTGGCGGCTTTGTAGCATGAAGCAAGTCGAGAATTTGAAGTGCTTGGTCGGAATATTGCCCGTCTGGATAGCCGGTATCGGGTGCTTTCTCGTAATGGATCAACAAAGTACGTTCGGAGTATTGCAAGCGATTCAAATGAACCGATCGATAGGGAAGCACTTCCAAATCCCACCCGGTTGGATGGGAATATCCTCCATGATAGCTCTGTCGATATGGATACTACTTTACGAGAAGCTCTACATTCCGATGGCGAAAAAATACCTGAAAAGGGATTCGAGGATGGAGATGGAGCACAGGATCGCCATCGGGATAGTGATGTCGATCCTGTGCATGATCGTTGCGGGGACCACCGAGACGAGGCGGCGGACCCTCGCACTGAGGAACGGCTCGTTCGAGTCGCCCCTCCACGTCTACATATTGCTGCCGCAGTTCGCGCTCTCGGGTCTGACCGAAGCGTTTGCCGCGGTGGCATTGATGGAGTTCTTCACGAGGCAGTTGCCGGAGAGTATGAGGAGCGTCGCCGGTTCGGTTTTCTTTCTTAGCTTGTCGGTGGCGAGCTATTTGAGCTCGTTGATTGTGAACGTGATGCACTCTTTGACGGCCGGGAGGGGGAAAACGGCGTGGCTCGGCGGGCATGATCTTAACCATAATAGGCTTGAGAATTACTACTTCTTGATTGCGGGACTCGGAGGCGTTAATTTGCTTTACTTTTTGTTTTTCGCGAGGAAATATGTTTCGTTTTCGAAAGATGTGAAAGAGGGGGAAGAAGATGAAGAAGTGGAGTTGGAGAATGTCAAGTGATGTTATGATTTTTTTATTCCCTCTTTGCTTTGAGGTTGTGTTCTATTAATTAGGGTTAACTATTTTTCTTTTTTTTCTTTTTTTTTTTCTTTTTTTTTTTTGGTGTTGGAGTGGTTGTTGAAAGCTCTTCCAAATAATGAGGTTCATAGTATGGAAGATTGCTTGAATTTTTTGGTTCTTTCTTGGGTGTTTTTTTTGTTCTTTTCAAGAAGATCTATAATATTGAAAAAAGAAAATTATGTATACGTGTGGAAATGCAGTATTTAATTATAAGGTTATAGCTGCGAAAAAATTGTGAACCTTAACCGGCCCGGTTAAGGATCAGGTCCAACCCTCCAGCTCGAACAACGGCCTGATCATCTGGGTCATACATTTTGAATTTGACCCGCCGGGTCCTGGTCGACCCACTCATTTTGAAAAATTGAGCCACTTTTTTTAATCTGAGCGTTGCCAATGCATTTACAGTTTATTTTCTATTTTTATTTCGACGGGTCTTACCGGCGGTTAACTGCCGGTTAATTCACGGTTTTGTGAAATGGGTGAACTGTAACCGGCACTTATGTTAAGGGTTCGGTTAATCGAACCGTACCCGGTTCAGGGTTGGGGTCAGGTTCGAACCGGACCCTTGGTCATTTCTAGTTCCGTTCCATTAATTTTGATCGCAAAACAATTTTTTTCATTTCGAATTCCAAAATTACGAATACGAATTTTTCAATTTTTTTTTTCCTTGATGAATTGAAATTGGTTCTTTTACCACTAAATCGACTATACAACACACATTTAAAGAGAGTTGAGTTCGAAATTTCCACCAAACGTCACTGTAGAGGAGATTCGAATACCACCTAGGTTAAACCTTAATGATAAATCGAGTATGCAGAACGATGAAAATATTGTTGCTGTTTATTTTTTTTTAGTAAATTCAAGTCCATTACAAGGGGAAGTAGGAGAGGGGGGCTCGAACCCTAGACTTTTACCCTATTGATAAAGGTTAAATACCAACTCTCCTGATGAGAGTTGATTCGATGAAAATATTGTTATGTTTAAGAATAAGAGAATTTTCAAGAAAAGAGAGAGGAAAGTTAAGCAAACAATTCTTGTACAATATGAAATTTGTTATAGAATAAAATATATAATAAATTAAATCACATATAGACTATAGAGTGATTAGTAAAGTAAAGAGAGTATGTGATTTGTGTATGAAAGGTGAACACTGCTATAAAGAAAAATATATTGACTATCGATTAAGCTTGATAAAGGAAGTAATCACTTCTCATTACCAATGTCATCTATTTATACATTAAATTTTACACTGCATACTATTCAAATAAGATAGAAATTATCTTATGTATTGACACGTATTACTAGAAGATTAGTCATCAATAGAAAACTTAGTGAGGAAGTCTACTTCTGATATATCACAACACTCCCCCTTAGATGTAGCACTAATTTATAATGTCTCAAATCTAGTTCTGTGCATAAGTTGTCTCATCAAAAACCTTTGCTGGAAAACCCATTGGGACAAAACCAGTCAAAAGGAAAAAAGAGTGCAGCGCACTAATTGCTCCCCCTAAAATGAGCATATAGCTTCCAAAATGGGACATCAATCTTGCTTCACACTGGCTCTTCTCATTCCAATTGCGTATACCAACTTCTCAAAAGTAGAAGTCGGTAAGGACTTTGTAAATAAATCAGCAAGATTGTCGCATGAGCGAACTTGTCGAACATCAATCTCTCCATTCTTCTGAAGCTCATGTGTGTGGAAGAACTTTGGTGATATATGTTTGGTCCTATCACCTTTTATGCATCCGCCCCTTGTTTGCGCTATACAGGCAGCATTGTCTTCGTACATGATTGTGGGCGTGTCTGTAACTGGATGTAATTGGCAAAAATTTCGTATATAGAAAATAACGGATCGTAGCCAAACACATTCTCTCCCTGCCTCATAAAGGGCTATTATTTCTGAATGATTTGAGGAGGTGGCCACCAATGTCTCTTTGGTAGAACGCCAAGATATACCTGCACCATTATAACAAAATAAATATCCAGTTTGTGAGCGAGCTTTGTGGGGATCAGATCTATATCTCGCATCGGCATAACCAACTAACCCTTGGTTAGTTGCATTCTTTGAATAAAATAATCCCAAATCTGCAGTACCACGGAGATATCTAAAAATATGTTTAACACCATTCCGGTGTCTCCGGGTAGGCTTAGAGTTGTATCGCGCAAGCACATTTACCGCAAAAGCGATATCAGGTCGAGTGCATTGTGCTAGATACATTAACGCTCCGATAGCATTTAGATACGGCACTTCTGGGCCAAGTATCTCTTCATTAAATTCTTTAGGTCGGAACGGATCCATTTGAGGATCTAAATTGCGCACAACCATAGGGGTGCTCAATGAATTATAATTTTCCATATTAAACTTTCTGAGCACTCGTTTAGTATATGCAGATTGGTGTATAAGTGTGCCGTTATTTTTATGCTCAAGCTCAATACCAAGACAGAGTTTGGTTTTTCCAAGGTCCTTGACCTCAAACTCTTTCTTTAAATATTCAGCAGCATTGGACAATTCTTCAGGAGTGCCAATGAGGTTCATGTCATCTACATAAACCGCAGTAATAGCAAATCCGGTTTTTGGTCTTTTAATAAAAACGCATGGGCAAATAGGATCATTTTTATAACCTTCCCTGATAAGGTATTCACTCAATCTATAATACCACATGCGACCAGATTGCTTTAGACCATACAATGATCTATGTAATTTGATTGAGTGCAGCTCATGCGGAGCGCCAGAGTATGGCATTTTAAATCCATCGGGAATTTTCATATTAATATCAGAATCTAGTGAACCATATAGGTAGGTCGTTACAACGTCCATTAGACGCAGGTCCAGTCCCTATGGGACGACCATATTGATAAGAAAACGGAAAGTGATCGTATCCATAACTGGTGAATACGTCTCATCATAATCAATCCCAGGCCGCTGGGAGAAACCTTGAGCTACAAGGCGGGCTTTATATCTTACAATTTCATTGTTCTCGTTCCTCTTACGGACAAATACTCATTTATACCCAACGAACTTTACATTATTCGGAGTTTGAACGATTTGCCCGAATACTTTCCGTTTTTCTATGGAGGCCAATTCAGATTTTATTGCTTCCTCCCACTTAGGCCAATCATTTCTTTGGCGGCATTCCATTATGCAACGCGGTTCACTATCATAATTATCGTACATAATTTCTTGTGCAACCGAGAATGCAAAAATATTATCGATGATTATCTCATTTCTATCCCATATTTCATTGACTTATGAGATTCTCGGTATTCCCGGGATTTGATATCGCTTTTTCGATATCTGGCTCAACAGATTCATCTACGCATCATAGTCGTTCCTGGGTGACCCAGTCGATCCTACGCATCAATCCTACGCATCATAGTCGTTCCTGGGTGACCCAGTCGATCATGCTGTAACCTGTGTATATCGGGATTAACAAGTTTCCATGGCATAGTGGCGTATGATTCGAAAGCTCGAATTTGGACACAATACAGTCCCGAAGCTGTCGCTTCGAACTTCTCATGAACAATTCTTTTGTCCATGACATATGATATGACGCATAGACACTCCACGATATTTTCAACCAATGTCTCTAAATGATACCCATTGTGTCTCACATCTTTAAAACTCAGTAGATTCTTATTTGATCTACCGGATATCAATGCATTTTCAATATGCAAAGTGGTACCATTAGGCAACACAATTGTTGCGTTCCCGGAGCCATCTATTATTTCCGCGGAACGTGCTATGGTTTTAACTTGTGCCTTGCACAAAGTCACACTCGAGAAATATATTTTATTATTGAATATTGAGTGTGTAGTTGCACTATCGAGTAGGCAATAGTCATATTTGTCCATGTTTTTCATGTACGTGTATCAAAACCAGCTCGACCTCGGGTATTTATCCTCCAAGGGAGATATATACATGTGGGTTTATTCAAATCAACTCAATCTTGGGAATCACACTTTCCAAGAGAGATTTATATACAGTGGGTACTAAATAACCCAAAAACCCTTTAAATTTGGACTTGTGATCAATAGCGTCTAAGTTGGCTTTTGACGGATTTTACCTCGTCTATGACTCTACGAGCTTCAGGCTCGGAGTTGTTTTCAGATATTTGGAAATTGACCTTTGACGGATATTATCACGTCTTGACTCAACGAGCTTCAGGCTCGGAGATATATTTATGATTTAGCCTCTAAATCAGCTTTCTAGTCTCAACGAGTTTAGACTCGGAGTTATATTTCTTGGCCTCTAAATCGGCCCACAGATCTGTTAAAATTAGCACGTGCTTATAGCACTGCTTGGGATCCACAAGCTTGCAAATATAATTTTAGCAGCAATTCAATCAACAAATAAGCAATAGATTAATATACACGAATCCATCATATCCTTTGAGAAATGATAGCGTATAAAATACCTAAGTATTCGCTAATCATTCTCGTTTGTCTTTTCGACAATAGATCGAGAATCTGAATTTTCGTAAAATAAAATAAAAAGAAGAATACAAAAATAGCAAATCCCTATCGAGCAAAATCTCGTACTAATAATGTGTTATAGAATAAAATATATAATAAATTAAATCACATATAGAGTGATTAGTAAAGTAAAGAGAGTATGTGATTTGTTTATGAAAGGTGAACAATGCTATAAAGAAAAATATATTAACTATCGATTAAGCTTGATAAAGGAAGTAATCACTTCTCATTACCAATGTCATCTATTTATACATCAAATTTTACACTGCATACTCATCAAAGAAGATAAAAATTATCTTATGTATTGACACGTATGACGTATTACTAGAAGATTAGTCATCAATACAAAAGTTAGTGCGGAAGTCTACTTCTGATATATCACAACAAAATTCAATTTCTAATTTAAATATATTTTTTTGTTATAGGAATAAATGACCCAATGAAACATTGGATCCGATAATTTAAACTCATATAATAATAGGCCATCAAATTTTTTATTTAAAAAACATAAATACGAAAGACCCAATAATTAAAAGTGGATCCATTAATATTAGGGGGCCTAATTTTGGTTTCCACCTTAGGTCTCTCAAACTCTAAGACCGACATGTAACCACAACGGGTACATATCGCCTAATATTTTAGTTATTTTGCAGGAATTCTGTTTAAATGTATAGTTAATCTTCGGTTTTCACTCAACTGCAGACGTATTACATGTAAAGTTTTGCACTTGACACATTTGAATTGAGTGGTGGTGGGATTCGAATTCAATATCTTTTTACAGTTAAAAAATTTGAAATGAGTGACGGTTGGATTTGAACTCAGGACCTTTTATTTGGTCTGGCTCTGATACCATATTAAACGACCATCTCACTAAAAGTTTAAGCTTTTAATGAAACATATCATTTAATATTAATATTTCTAATACTACTAGTGAAATGTATTATTTAATATTAATATCTTCAATATAAACTAGGGTAAATAGCACTTAACCCCCTTTGTGGTTACAAGCTTTTAAAGATGACCTCCCGTGCTTGTAATATCAGCACATGACCCCCTTTGTGGTTACAAGCTTTTAAAGATGACCCCCTTGTGCTTGTAATATCAGCACATAACCCCTTCGTGGTTGATGGGGGTAACTTCCGCTAGTTTTTTCGGTCAACTTAACTGCTGTCAAACGTCAAAAGTATTTTTTATTTTTGTAGGTGACCTTTTGAAGTTTGACACACGCGATTAAGTTTGACGGAGAAAAATAACAGAAGCTACCCCTATAAATCAAAAGGAGGTTTTGCACATAGGGGTCATCTGTAAAAGTTTATAACCACATATGATTAAGTATTATTTACCATGGTAAACTACTCAATATAGGGTGAAAACAATATAGGTTTAATTATTTGATTTAGACCGACAATAATTGTACAAAGTTTTGGCACTGCATGGAATAATTTGATTCAATTCAATGGTATATATGTATTCAAATTAATTAAGTCAGACAAAAAATTAGATTGGTCGACGCAAAATGTGGTCCAATTGGTCAGAAATAAATATGATTTATCATCCTCTCATGAATTCACACGCACACAACACATGTGTGTGCATGTGCGTGGAAATAGTATCAATAGTAACTTTCACAAAAGCGATACCAATATAGCACGGACACGTAAGCACGTACATTTCACATAGTACTCCCTCCGTTCCATTTTAATTGTCGTTTTCTAGCTTTACACAGAGATTAAGAATTTCATTAAATGTGTCTTGATTTTAAGAAAATGTATGCTTTTAGACTAAAATAACCTTGTTTTATAATTAATAAGAGAGAGAAATTAGCTGAAAAAAGAGTATTGGAAAGAGTTAATAAGGGTGTAAATTGGAAATTAAGTAATTAATGAAGTGTTGTAAATTTAAAGTGACAGATAATATGAAACAAAAAAAATTCTCCAAAGCGACAGATATTATGGAAATTTTAGAATCAAAATTATGAATATTATGGATATTATGGAACGGAGGGAGTATAAAATTTTACCAATTTTTACGTGGTTGTGTGTGTTTGTGCGGAAATTTTAGAATCAAAATTAATAATTATTCGTTATGGCACCAATGAAGCACAAACACGTGGCACACACACTCACGCAGTCGCAGACGTAATTTTCACATAGTGGAGAAGTTCAATTTTCCGTAGGTTGGCTAATGTGGAACAACCATGTGAACTCAATCAATTTAACTCATCCTTTTATAAAAACTTAGGACCATTAATTATTCACCTCTTCTTTATTTTGTCTGTACAATGAAAACAGATAAATACAGCTAATTATATATACATATATAAATATAATTGGATAAACCTGAATTATTTCTGGCTGAAAGCACACTTCTCTAGGCAGAAAAATCTTGTTAGCATTTAATCATTTTTGGTATTTTTCTATACTTCAAACATATATTATAGTTCCAACCGGACTCGTGCTCGAGCTCGAAAAATTTGGCGAGCTCGGATAATTTATACCCCCAACCCAATTCTAACTTCTTAAATATTGAAAACTGATACTAAATACAACATTTTTTAGTTTATTTAAAAGTCATAATTATCATGAGCTAATTGCATAGAGCCCCCGGAATGGCTAAAAAAAATCCTCAAGTTAAAAATACTAGCATAGCCCCCTATATTATTTTTGACAAAGCACACTGTCCCTTATTTCGAAACTACCAGTTAACTTACAGGAAATGACTAAATTAACCTTCATATTTTTAATAATCTCCTCCCCCAACCCAATTCTTCCATCGAGCCATCCGCCGTCGCATCACCACCACGGCCGCACCACCTGCCTTCCCATCCCAATACAAAATTACACAAGGGTGAGTTTTGCAGAAAAACCTAATTATTATTTCAGTATGTTGTGTCATTAATCATGCACATCTTTAACATTTTAGTCTTATTTAAAAACAAATGCCCTCCAAAAATATAATATTGTGCAATCAAGACAAAGTTTAATTATAGATGTGTATTTTTTTTTTCAATTTGATTTACACACAATTGATAATTATTTAAACAAAAAAAAAATATTTTGAGTGACAACATTAATTTTCATATGACTAGGCAAAAAGTGTCGTCACTGTATACGCAACTTTTTCATGTAATCTATTTATCCCAGGATGTAACTCAGTAGTAAAATTTGTCTTACATTGAACAAACTCCACTACTAACTATTGTCCGAAAAACCTCACATCATCTCTTAGTGCATTAAATGAGGTTGTCAAAAATGATTTCTCCAATAATCAAAGAAGCAATCACAGAAATCCTGGAAACCTCTGAAATTGACATAAATCTTTTATATATATATATATAGCTTGTAACCATAGGCAAATGCCAAGCCAAAGCACATAACACACACTAGCATTTTAGGTACAAAGAGATAACCTTTGTTCTTTTTCTTTGCCATAACAATGGAGAAGAACAAAATTATTGCCCCCAAAAAAGAACCAAATTACAGAGGAGTCAAAGCCATGCCTTTTATTATCGGTACGTAAATATTCCGATCGGATCCCACTCCTATTTTTTCGTCATTTCTTTTTTTCGTTCCAAACCGTCGTACTTTTCGGCGTTTCGCTAGCTCATCGTTGTATATTTAACTATAGTTTTAATTTATGCTTACTTTTTATTGTTTTATTTGCAGGTAATGAGACATTTGAGAAGCTTGGAACAATTGGAACATCATCAAATCTGTTGGTTTACCTAACAACAGTTTTCAACATGAAGTCTATTACAGCTACAAATGTTATCAATATCTTCAATGGAACTTGCAACTTCGGAACTTTGCTCGGCGCTTTCCTCTCTGACACGTATATTGGTCGATACAAAACTCTCGGAATCGCCTCCGTATCCTCGTTCCTGGTACTACAGTCGTTCCGCGAAATTTTATTCAACTATTTTTTTCGTTCCGAACCCATGTATATAAATGAATTATCATAAATTGGAATCGCATATGTTAGTTTCATTAGCATAAAGTTCTATGCGACCGAGAGTTAAAGACATGCAACTAACTATTAAATGAAATAGTATATGTACTAGGGGTAGAAATTGGACGGATCAGATCATAATTAATACTTTTAAAGAAATTCCAATTTTTTTAAAGTAAAAAACTAATTTTAATTGAGTTCTGAAAACTTCGGTATTTCAGAATTTGGAATGAAAAACATTGTTCCAAAATGGGAATTTTTTTAATCGGAACCATCAAAATTCGAAATTTTCTTTTTTTTTTTAGACACCTATAATATAAAGTACATAATAATATTGATATTATAAATGTAATTTCTAGAGAAAAAAAGCAAATCAGAATTTTCGAAATTAAATTGTATCGGGAATCAGAATCTAATATGTATTCCCATTCCGTTCAAAAAAAAATATTCAGAATTCAGAATTAAAATTTTTATTCCAAAACTGTAAATATTCGAAATTAATTTTTTAATTTGTTTATTTTTTTTGTGTGTGTGGAATTTCAGGGGATGGTTGTGCTTACAATGACAGCAGCATTTCCAAACCTACACCCACAAAAATGTGGATCAGAAGAAGATAGCATCTGCACAGAACCTTCACCATGGCAACTCACATTCTTATTCAGCGCTTTCGTGTTTTTAATAATCGGCGCGAGTGGAATTCGGCCGTGTAATCTAGCCTTCGGCGCCGATCAATTCAATCCCAACACAGATGCAGGCAAAAGAGGAATCAATAGTTTCTTCAATTGGTACTACTTCACTTTCACATTCGCCATGATGCTCTCGTTAACGGTGATCGTGTACGTACAATCGAGCATTAATTGGGCCATCGGATTAGGCATCCCTGCTTTCTTGATGTTTTTGTCGTGCACGTTTTTCTTTGTCGGGACCAGAATTTACGTTCGGGTTCTGCCGGAGGGCAGCCCCTTGACAAGTGTGGTCCAAACATTAGTTGTTGCATTTAAGAAGAGAAAATTGGATTTACCGGAACACCCTTCGGTATCGCTTTTTAATCACTTTCCCGAGGATTCAATTAACTCGAAGCTTGCTTATACTGATCAAATGAGGTTAGTAACTTTTTTTAATGATATTTTTATAGCAAAATAATTTTGTGTTAGAGGGTTTTTGACAATCTTTTTTGAAAAATCGGACGTTTAGGTGTCTTAATAAAGCGGCAATTCTGACACTGGAAGACGAAATTGACTCGGACGGATCGGCAATAGACCCTTGGAGGCTCCGAAGCGTGCAACAAGTCGAGGAGATAAAGTGTGTTCTAAGAGTGATTCCGGTATGGATTTCAGGAATCGTGTACCTCATTGTTTTAAGTTTAATGCAGACGTATTTAGTGTTTCAAGCCATGCAAACCGACCGGCGGCTAGGGCGGTGGGGAGGCGACTTCAAAATCCCCGCGGCAACTTACAACGTCTTCTCAATGATAAGCCTCACGATATGGATCCCGCTCTACGACAGGGTCGTGGTCCCCGCGCTCAGGCGGATCACGAAGCGAGACGAGGGGATCACGATCCTGCAGAGGATCGGGATCGGATTCGTATTCGCAATTCTAACGATGGTGGTCTCGGCCGTTGTGGAGAATCATCGGAGGGCGTTGGCCTTCACGCGGCCGACTTTAGGGTTTGTCGCGCGTCGGGGGGCGATTTCGTCCATGTCGGGCAATTTGTTGATCCCCCAGCTCGCATTGGCTGGACTTTCGGAGGCGTTTGCGGTTATCGGGCAAGTCGAGTTCTACTACAAGCAGTTCCCAGAGAATATGAGGAGCTTTGGAGGGTCGTTCTTTTTTTGCGGGTTCGCGATGTCGAATTATTTGAGTAGTTTCTTGATTTCCATTGTTCATAGGGCTAGTAGGGTTGGCGAAGGGAGTAATTGGTTGGCTGAGGATCTCAATAAGGGGAGATTGGATTATTTTTACTACCTTGTTGCTGGATTGGAAGTGTTGAATTTGGGGTATTTTTTGGTTTGTGCAAAGTGGTACAAGTATAAGAGTATTGGAGATAGCAAAATGGATCTGGCATTGGAGGAAATTGATCCTAAGAAAGGAGTAGTTTAATTAGTTCATTAAACTATGTTAGGGATTATTAAACCATGTGATGAGATTTGAAGAAATTTGAATAGAGAGAAGGGTTATATGGTCCAAGTTTATCTCAATTTTATTGAATGAAAATATTATTACTTAATATATTGTAGCAATTATGTAGAAATTTGTAAACATTGCAAAACTGCTTTGATGTTTTTATGGATTCATTTCATAAATTGTGCATTAATAAATTCAAAGCCATCTATTATGGGGATAGCGGTAGTATACATGGGCTGGGTACGGGTTTGTCGGGAGAACTGGGTTGGGTACGGGTTTGTCGGGTCTCAGATCCAGAACCGACCCGTTTAGAGCGGATGTGAGTAAGTTAAACGGTTATGAATCAGGTAGTGGGTTCTAGTTTCTAAAATCGAATGGTTTTGAATTGAGTTACAAGTCTTATTGGAACAGACCCAGAACCGACCCGCATAAATATATTATATACGAAAATCCCCTGAACTTAGGCTAAATAACAAAAATCACTCCCAACTATTTGCAATAACCAAACCCCCCCTCTAATTAACTGGTGATCGAGTTTTTTAACAGAAAATGTGTACGGTCTATTATACCTTATGTTAAATAGGTAATAAATAAAAGAAAACATCTGAAAATGTGTAAAATCTATTCCTTGGAATAAAAAAAATCAGTGAAAACCTCATAGGATTTTTGAAATCTAATCCAAGTTTAGGGTTTTTTCATAATTTACATATCTACCCGATTGGTCGGAAAGCATTCTTGGAATTTTGAATAAGTGCCGAGTCAATTTTATCCACGTCATCAAAGAAATCAACGACGTCAGCATTTTGCATAACTTAAGATGATATAATAAACAAAAGAAAATGTTGTAATCAGCACATTTATTAGGTTCCTTCGATGCTACACCCGGTGAAAAACACCGGGTGGGTCTTCTGAACAAATCCATTTATTATGACACACATTTATTATGACACACGTCAAAATCTGTTTGAATCATCATACATACGCAAGTCAGATTTGGATTTTGTCATCAATTGAGTGGGGTAGCGAACGTTATCGCCCCTGCCGAAAATAAGCTGGAAGCAGCAGTACCACATAATTTCTATCCTGTTTTAAATATCTCTACGGGCTGAGTTTCCTACTCGTAAAAATTAATTTGTACTCGAGAAAATTATAGCAAATTGGTTTTTATATTTTATTTTTCTTTTTGTTTAAAGAATATGCCGTGAATTGTCAATAGATTTTGAAAAAAAAAATGAAGTGTCACTGAAATAAGATTAGTATACTCCCCTATTTCATAATGACTGTCACTTTAAAATTATAATACTGTTGTAAATAATATAGAATGTGGTTATTCCTATCTTAACTCACTCGGGATTTATACCTCGCTACTACGCCACTAGAGATTCTCAACTTACCCATTATGCCATAACTTCCTCCATGATGTATGTAGGGTATAACTCCCATGTAACCTCCTTGTAACTTCCGGTGGATTACACCTATATAAATGTGAATCTCCCCTCCCCTAAAGAACCCCCACAATTATCTCTCTACGGATCTTGCTTACTTGTATTCTCTCATTCTCTCTCTATTATTGTAATTATGTTCTTATGTATTTCCACAATCACAAACCAAATAGCTAGATTAAAGAGACGATTTTACAACACGTTATCAGCACGAATTGCTCGCCTTGATCGTGGAAAGATAATCATTCGTGGGGCAAGCATACTCGAAGAATTAGGGCGCTCGTGGAAAGATAATTGTTCATGGGACGAGATTACTCGGAGAACTTGTGATTCGGGTTTGCATGTAAAACGGTAATCCCTTACAATTTCAGTTTCTTAAGAGATGCATGCTAGATAAATTTGATGGCATGATATATATATCGAAGGATGATATATTTATCTCGAAATTATAATTCTGAGCATGCATTGTAAGAGTCATGTATAATGAGCACATTAATTTCATTTATATGGTTGTTTCTTGTGTGTGCATAATTTCCACATGCTGAACCATATTATTTTAATTTTCTTGTGGCTAAAATGTCAATTTATGTTTTCACATCTATGTATAAATCTTGTGATTCATTTATCTCTAGAATTCAATGTATTGCGCCAGCAAATGTTTTATTGCATATCATCAAATAGATAATATTTTCTGCCATTTTAATTCATAATTTCCTAGTGCGTGGTCTGGAATTATATTATGAATGTTTCATTGCTAGAATATAGAGAAAACTGTGGACTACATGCTTAATTACTATGAATTTCTATGCAGCAGTATGCATTGGCTTATGAATTGTTTTGATTATGATAATGAAATTCTCTTTGTTTCTTATCCAACCCGATTGTAGCTTTAGTCATTAACTGTTTGAAATATTGTCTGATTAAATCATGGATCCTATATGGACTATACATGCTATTTACGGTTACATCATGACCAGTTATATGCTTAAGGTTATGTTTATATTTCAATGATATTAAGCATGTCATATTATATATATATATTTGGCACATGTACGTTAAAGTGGATGATTAATTTGCTCAAATTATTATGGAGAATTTTATTCAATTTATCCATTATCTATCTGCCATATGTAATTTTTTTGATACAAAAATGGTAAGCAATATTTCGTTTGTCGTTATGGTTTATCGTATGAAATCCATGAATGTGTATGAACGTGTGGTGTATGAATTATTAGACCGGAAGTTCTAATATGTGCAAAATATTCATGAAATTGTTTATGGAGGTTACATTCCCATAAAAGAATAATACTCATTATTCTATTTGATTTGAGATGAAACACATGAGCAAACTCGAGTTTACCCAACTTAATGTATTTGGTGAAAGTTTTGATTGGTTGGAGAATGGATGTTAAGATCCATATGCTTAGTGAGCAAGTGAGAATGATTGTTTTCGAGAATAATTTATTAGGTAAGCCTAGAAGGCTGAGACTATGTTTCTGATTACGAGATAATTAGATGAAGTCCTTCGTCTGAACTATTCATCGAACGAGGGTCCTATACAGAATGGGATACCCTAACTAGTCGTTTTGATTACCAAAAGACTATACACTTGCCGGAAGGGGGAGGAAAGAACATATCTTGCTACAAATAGACATGAAATTAATTAAGAACGTCCACACTTTGATTAATTTCATGACTATCACTTTGATGAGACTGTCTTCCCGCCGTTAGGGGGAGGAAAGAACGTCCACACTACCGTTCCTGAAAAACGGCGTGAAGCCGTGTGGGACGACCCCACAGTGTCTCATCAAGATCCCCTACATCAGAGAATTGCTACATAAATTAATAGATCATCCATACTAGCGTTCCTGAAGAACGACGTGAAGTCGCGTGGGATGACAATATAGATTTTCAAGTAATGTCCATAGTAACGTTCCTGAAGAATGGCGTGAAGTCGTGTGGGACGACTACTAAATCAGCAAATAATGTCAACACTTATGTTCCTCAAGAACACCGTGAAGTCGTGTATGGAGAATAATGCCAGACTCATTCAATGGTTTGAAAAAGTGACGAGATCTCAAATAAGCCTGCAAGGATAGATGTCCTAGAAGGACAATTACGGGTAGGCCATCAATCCATGCTAACTAGTCTTGCCTCCCTTCTTAGGAGATGGGGAGCGCAATGGGACCAAATGATTGTCAACCTCGGAAGTGGGTGAATGCCCAACAATTGAATCCGGTTAGCACTAGTATAAATGGGATCCCACCTGATCCATCTCATAAAATAATTCCGGACTATGGATTCGTCCTGCAGACGAAGTCGGGGGACGCCTCGACATTAATATCCATTCCCGTGAATAGGAAAAACTCGGTTTGTTATTCATGCATGAATGAGATGTTGTATTGGGATGAAATGATCATCGATGATAAACTTCCCTACACAGTAGCTACTGAATTTTTTAACAAGTGATGATATAAAACTTCGAACAATTGATAAGTGTAAACAAAGGGATGATGGCCGAAATGAAAACAAAAAGAATTGAAGTTGAATTTGATTCCTTGATAAAATGAAGAGTGTAGAGACCAGTAGTTCCTACACCTCCTTGAATTTCACATATGGGATACAAGTGAGTACTCACAAAGAAAAAAAATGAGATTGAGAGCCAGAAGACTCATCTCATAGCTCAAGGAATGAAATGAGATTGGGAACCAGAAGATTCATCTCATAGCTTAAACGAGATTGGAAGCCAGGAGACTCATCTCATAGCTCAAATGAGATTGGGAACCAGAAGATTCATCTCATACCTCAAATGAGATTGGGAACCAGAAGATTCATCTCATAGCTTAAACGAGATTGGGAGCCAGGAGACTCATCTCATAGCCCAAATGAGATTGGGAACCAGAAGATTCATCTCATAGCTTAAACGAGATTGGGAGCCAGAAGACTCATCTCATAGCTCGAACGAGATTTGGAGCCAGAAGACTCATCTCATAGTACAATGATTTTGGGGCAAATGAGATTGTGAGCTCGAAGACTCATCTCATAATTCAAGGATTTTCTCAACAACCTGAGATTGACTTTAAAGAGGCATACTCTCTCATGATGAATGTATCTAATGGGAATCTAGATACAAGTATTTATATTAAATACGTGGTCACAAAGTATCTAATGGGAATCTAGATACAAGTATTTATATGAAAGTTCCAGAAGGACTTCGATTTCCCGAAGCAATTAGTTCCAGATCACGGAACATAAACTCAGTTGGGCTGAGACGTTCACTTTAATTATGACTAGAAATATTCCAGAAGAATATAGGACAATTGCCCAAGTGAACATTTGCTCGGAAGAGAATATGTGAACAATAATTGGTTTTGATTGTTCCTATTACTCAAATTTATTGTAAGGACATGAACTTGATTTGGACTACTGAAGAAGTCATTTAAGAAAAACTCAATTGTTGAAAATTTGAGTTCAAGATCAAAGATCTAAAGAAGACTAATTTGTTCTCTACCGATTTCAAATTTATCATGTTAATTAGATTCTTGTCCATCAATCGAATACATCCAGAAGATGTTATGGATAAATATAAATTATCGAGTAATACCTACGGAGTTCCACAATGGAATAGAACCATCAATTCATTCCGTCCCATGGAGGAGGACGAGGAAGTGTTAGCACCAGAAGTGCAATATGTAAATGCAATATATGCATTATTATGCTTAACTCCATGTACTCGA